ACCGGTGTACGGTGGATTCGATCTAACTCAACGCTTGCCCTCTACCCGTTTCTCTATGGTACGAGCAATTCTTTCGAAAAATATATCGATCGTAAATTCTACCATTTATAATTACTGTTATTAAAAATTTAAACACGCATTTAGTTTAGAAAAACAATTATCTATGATTTGCGTATAATCCGATTGATTTTAAATTGGCATTCATAAACACGAGAGGATATAAATGTGCGGATAAGATATTTGTGGTTCTTTAGGAAGATATTAATTTATTGAAAATGTGTAGGGAGAGTTATACGGAAAAGGGTATAGCCAAGAGCTGGTATAAAGGACGACACACATATACGAGATGGAGTGGATGAATCTCTTAGGTTAGTGGTAGGGGTTGGAGGCTAGGGGGTTGTACCATGGAGTTGTATTCACTATTGAGGGCTGTTCGGCTCTATTGGGGTGATAATGTTGCGAATTAGCGAGATTTCCACTTCTACGCACCCTGCTCTGACCCTACGTCGGTCACGAATTAAATTCTAAGGGTGGCAAGAACGAGAGACGTGGTTGCGATCTGCTCTATACTTTTCTCTACATTGTACCTTATAATTCTTATAATCTTCTCTTTGAAAAAAGGGAAAAGGCAATAAAACGAATTTTCGTATCCATCTCGCGTTTACCACGGAGCTTTCTCTACTTCCTCGTAATATCGCAAGCCCCCGGGAAAGTGCAGTGCCGAATTGTCGACGACAATTAATCTATCAATCACCCCGAGCACGTCGAGGAACGGTCAAGTGGTTAACTGTGTACCGTCACTCAAATCTGGAGGCGGCTAAGCGCTCAAAAACCGTGGCTAACCTTCGTGTAAAGCCACGCTTGATGTGAGACAACTGCGAAACTCAAAAACCTCTTAGAAAGATTTATCACCTTTATTTTTCATTTTGAAAACTACGCTCGTAACTACCCTCTAACACACAAGGGTGGTGAACGTTACAATTCTCCCCTCTCGAAACTCGAATCATCGCGTTCTAATGGATTTATTATTGCAGCGAATAAATTCCTCGACCTAACGACCCTAATAGGGTGGCCGTGGCATGGCAAACAGGATCATCCTTCCTCCTTGTCCAGAGGATAGTATGTAAATATTCGAGTGGCGAACGAAAACCGAGACAGAGTGAAGGCTCTGTAACACGTTTGCCGTGTGGGGGTTACTTTATATGCGAGTAGGGTGCCCGTTTGGAATTGGCTTAGTCTACCCTGAAGTCAGCTCGCTTTCGTTCCGATCCAACTGAATCGAAGTGCGTGCTCCCTTATCCTTCGCTAAATTTCATGAGTACTTTGTGTTCCATCGGGGCAGAGGCCGGAATCGCGTTAACCGTAAAGTCGATTCGACTTTACTCTTAAACTTCTACCTACCCTTCACACCCCGTCTATTAAGTCTATCCGAAAAATCTCCCTTACCTTTGTACGCCTTGTGACGAAGCTGCGAATCTTCCAGCACCATATTCTCGAAATCGTTCTGAAGCGCGATCGCGGCATTGTGCGGCGAAGAATGATTCGACAGGTGACTCAATAGTTTGTCCAACACATCCTCCATGTTCTCTTGCTTGATCCTGATACGTCTAGACTCTAACATCCGTACGAATTCGATTTCTGGCGGCGTTAGAAAGATCGTGGCCGAACCGGAAGAACCAGCCCGAGCTGTTCTACCTATTCGATGCACGTAGTCCCTGGCTGACGTCGGTCCTGTATACTGAATCACGCAGTCCACTTTTGGTAGATCCAGTCCTCGAGCTGCGACGTCCTAGATCGTCGAGGAGTCAAACGTCTGATTAATTTCTCAAGCATTTATAAACACGCTGAACTCGTCTCGACTACTGGACACTGTATGCTAATAGGACGTTCGAGAGGATTGATAAAAATGAAGCAAGCGGAAAGAGTTGGAAACTGTGTAGTTGGCCGATTCGAACATCTTGTTCCCTGATAATCCGAAGAGCCCTCGAGAGCAAGCAAGAGCCGCGAGCGTGCGATCTGGCTGGGTACAAATGTCTTACAAACCGCGTCGATTTCTCGTTTTGTAACGAAGGTGAATGCGCGCGGCTGGCAGCGAGCGCCCGCTGTGGGACCCCAACAGCGAACGTTTGAGCACGGCCCTGATTTCCTTGCGTTCGGTTAACCAATGATTTACCGAACGGAGCACATCGAAGTTTCTGCTTGACGACCCTGGAGACTAATCCCGGACCACCAGTGGGGGGCGTCGTGGCCCCGAAAATTCTTTCGCGGCACGATACGTATGTGTCTGTCTTGTGGCCTCTCCTCCTCTTCCTCTTCCTTTTCTTTTCCACGTCTTTTTATCGAATTAATTCGACGCTCGGGCCTAGCGTGGTCGAGGCGCCAGGGTGAAGGAAAACGAGTGGAACGAAGTTAAAATATCTGTGGCGATCTTTTATCATCGCGAGATTCCTTTTGTCTCGCCTCTTAGGACGTTCGTTACGGTATACTATACTAGTTTCATAAATATGTAGTTTATCAGAGTTGTTCGACGCGTCTCGTTGCAGATGAAGAATATTTCTCAAGATCGTAGAGCGATAATTGATCGACGGATATAAACAAGTCCGATTAGGAACGTAGGGGAAAAGATAGTCTGATAAAGTGAAATCGGCGGGTACGCCTACGTATGTTCGACATGAAACAAGCACCGCGGTTGCAACCGGTGCGATATAATGTAACGAAAACAGGAACGAGGAGCGATCGATGGCAGCGATTAAGACAAACGATCGTTTAGGAGAGAGGCCGCGATCGTGGCCCTAAGGATCGAGAACGGATCGTCCGCTCAAAACATCTCACTCGGACCATAGATCACCTCGTGGATCCGGATTCACCACCGCTGAGAGCCGCGGAACATTCCATCCGCGGGGGCTCTCCTGAGTTTTCAACGTGGAAATTAATAATGCTGCCATACAATTCTCCGTTGAACGTGACGCGGTAAAATGTGGGCGGCTGCCATCGTTCCTCATGGATCCCTCTCGTGCTCCCCGATCTTTCTACAATTCTCCTCGGTTAAAACGCTGAAATAACGATCGAATTCTCTTACGATCACAGAGAACCAGTTCGTAATTAATCTGTATAAGGCGAGTTACTATACGTAAAACACGTGTACGCAATATCGCCTGATTAAAAGAAATTCATCCTCGCGTGACGTGAATTGTAGAATTCGACCGTTCGACTCTGAATTTTTACGACCCCCCTTTTCGCCCCGTTCTTTCTTTCGTAAAAGCGGCGATTTAAGCTGCCGTTAAGTGGCAAGGAAAAGAATTACGAATGAATTTAATTATTATTATCGTGATTTTAACGATATTTATCTGACAGCAGGATCGATCACTTTCACCGGTAATTATAATGATCAATCCAGTTGTCATGGAGTCACGATATAACAGAAAGTTGATCCGCGGTATCGATACAGGATTAATTTGATTCGCGTAATACCACGGTAATTAATAAACGAAAGAAAGTTGTCTATCAGTAGGGAAGTATTTTTTTTCACGTTAAAAAGAAATTAGAAGTTACTGCATATACGTTATTACGAAAAAAAAAAAAAAAAAAAAAAAAAAAAAAAAAAAAAAAAACAGACGACTGCTTTTCACCTAGCAGGAATTCCTCTGTTACGAGAAGTATCATTAATGTAAGCATTCGCTGTTTAAAAGTAGAAAACAATTAAAGAAGGGGCCGAGCGCATAACGGGCAAACAATCATAATTATACTCGTTACGAAGGCCTCATGTGCGCGCATAATTTTTAACCTCCGGACACAGCGTGGGTCCAGAGATATTAAATTCCGCCCTGAAAGAATAAGCCACGGGGTAATTTACTGCTCGACGAGTGCCGCCCGAGTATCCCTAGCTTTTCTTCTCCTCCTTCCTTCTCTTTCTTCCTTGCCACCGTTTTTATAATCATTTTTACGCTCTCGTAGAACGGTTTCTCGTTGCTCTCGTAAAGTGTCACGAGACTCTTCTCTTTCGCTATACATCCTTTGCAAAACAATTGAAAAATTTAAGTATTACGTGAAATATACTCACCGTGCAAAGTAGAACACCGCTCTTTGCCAGTCGGAATGTTTTGAACACTTCGGTTCGTTCCTTTTGGGTCATGCTACCGTGTAATTTGAAGAATTCCACGTCCACCAGGGGATCAGATTCCTCGTCATCTTCGTCTATCGGTTTGGTCAGCACCGCCGATAAGATTTCTGTGTGATAGTCGACCATATCTTGAGTTGCCATGAATACCAATACTTTGTGCTGACCGTGGCTCTATTAATAGTGCGAACAACATTCGTGAGATACTTTGAATAGGATAGAAAAATTAAATAATCGTTCACATTCTTCGTCTATCTACCTGGCACTTTCCAGTGATGTAAGCACTTAAAGTCACCATTCTTAATTTGGGCGGTGTAACGATATAAGACTGTGTTACACTTTGTGGAACCACCAGATCTTCGTTAACGTCATCTGCATCGCCACCGACACTTTCCAAATTTTCCTTCGCAGCGTCAACGAAAACAGGTCGATCCATAGCAAGACCTGCTAATTTTTCCACAGCTTGTGTCAACGTTGCTGAAAGCAGGATCGTCTGTTTTCTCGACGGATCTCTGCTGCTATTATCGTATTCCTTTTGTTCCGTGTTATCTTTTAACACGTTCGATTCTTTCGTTTTCGTAGATTCTGCTTTCGACACCTTCCGCTTGTTGAATTTTTCCGATTTCACGAAAGGCTCGCCTTCGTCGGAATCATTATCGCTGCTGGAATGATACTCTCGTTTTTGCATTGCACTATCTTCGTTCGTGTCGTACATAGAATCGGAATCTGTGCTTTTGTTTGATTTCGCAATCGGGTCTCCTTGGTCGTTTTTTTCAGATTCCTTTAAATCAGAACTGTTTTCTAGACGCTCGATGTCGTCGTCGGTAAAGATCTTTTTCTTGTTTTGTCGAAACAATTTCATCGCATCGTATTCCGTGTTGTTCTTACTCGGAGTGGATACCTTTAAAGCACTCACTATGCTGAAATTGCATTGCGCAACGAAAGTTTTTATTTTTGTTACATTTTATTTTCTGCAGTTTCGATTCGAAAAAAAAACCTACCCTGATATGTCTTTTTCGTAGCCCATGTCGAACATTCTATCCGCCTCGTCCAGAACGAAGCACTTAACGTCGTTCAGTTTTAAGGCTTTCGTTCTCTTTATGTGATCTAACAATCTACCTGGTGTGCCAACTAAGATATTGCACCCTTTTCTCAGCCTCGCCTTTTCTGCTTTCCTCTTTTCACCCCCTGCTAAATAACCCGGTACGATCCACGTAAATGGCTAAAATTGTTCGGAGATTAATCGATGAATATCCACACAAATTGACAGATTCGTTAAACGTGATTTACCTACTTTTATCAATTTCAAGAAACACTCGTAAGTTTGCAGAGCTAATTCCCTAGTTGGTACAACTACGAGAGCATTTAATCCGCTATTTCTATTCAATTTTGGCCTAATTTTATGCAAACATTCAACTATAGGTAAAGCATACGCCAGTGTCTTTCCAGAACCTGTTTGAGACCTAATTAAAATATCTTTTCCTGAAAGTATCTGCGGAATTGCTTTTTGTTGTACCGTAGTCATTTTAGTGATATTCATATTTTGCTCCAAATTAGATATCTGATAAAATGTTTCACAATTAGTGAGTTGTATCGTGCACAAGTTGTGTAAAAATGTCGTGCAAAAATTATCACAGCAGGATTCTACACTTTTGGATCGGTGGACATTTGTAAAGAAAAAAGAAAGAAAACAAACGTGACGTAAGTAAAGTCACGCGCACCGCGGTTGCCGGTTCAATCTCGACCGAGAATTATTCTTATAAACATGTCGGAAGGAAATCTTAAGTTGTATTCTTCACCGATGCTATGTAAATCATTAGTTTTCTTAATTCAAAAAAAAAATCAATGGTACAACGATTTTCAAAAATTATTTTATTTTAGACAGTATGAGTCTAGATACACGTAATGCTGAAAAGTAAGAAAAATACAAAAACTGTAAATAAGCAATATTTATTCTAAAATTACACAACAGATACATAGAATATTGTTTACAATTTTTGCGCGAGTATTACATATACAGGGTGAATGTAGTAACTGAGCTGGACTGTAACTCTGTTCCTATTGAAAATAGAGAAAAATTGTAGAGGACAACTTTATTTTTACCAATGTCCTCTGATCCAGAGATGTACAATACTGCTGCGGTGGTCTTTACATAGCCTTTTTATATACCCTGTACATATGAAGTACATTACTTGCATAACACTACTAACCATAAAAGGATGAACATTCAGATCAGCAAAAGTTGTTCCTGTAAATACTGGCTCATTTATTGGCTTTACTAAACGTTGACCAATGTTTGGTATGTCTGGATTATGACCAAATAAGGAAGATATCTTTCCCCCAGATTTATGAGAAATATGTGTATTTTTGTTATCTTCTACATTACTATTATTTTCAGTTTCATCTTTTCTTTTCTTTTTTCTACCAAGGTTTAGTTTTTCTGTTGTAGTAGAAGATTCTTTAGATGCTTCAAATTTCAGTTTCTTGAATTCTTCAAGTTGAGACTTCTTTTCTGGTACATCTTCCTCTTGTTCTACTCTCTTTAATGAATTTAACAAACTAACCTGTTTGTTTTCAGATGTTTCTTGCTTGGAAAAAATACTAGAAAGTGTTTTCTTTGAATTGGCATCTGTAATGTTTCTTTTCTTTGCAAATAGTGTTTTACCAAAATTATCTTTGGTAACTTTAGCAAATGAAATAACAGGTTCATTGGAAACCTCGTCATTTCTGTTTGATAAAGATCTATTGCTTTTTGCAGCATTCTTATCTACCTTTATAGATGCTTTAACCACTTCCTGTTTTGATTCTTTACGCTCAGTATTTACAGACTGTGACTTGGTCTTTAATTTCTTTTGTACAATAGGAGATTGTTTCAGACTGTGCGTATTACTGCCCTTCAATCTTTGTGCAACAATTGTGGCTAATGATTTTTGCTTAACTCTTTTATTAGTAGTATTACTAGTATTACTGTTCTCAACGGTGGCATTTTTTATGATACTACTGCTTATAATCTTGGGTTTTGTCGACAGAGTCTTTTTCTCTCTCATTAAGTTAAGAAGAAAATCATCCCCCCTTTCTGTACTCTATTTAACATGTACAATCACATTGAGAAAACAATCTAACAGTATTTTACAACCTTTCACTTACCTTTCCATCACCAGGTTTTGCAGAAATATTCAGAGAGATATCCATATCTTGCACGGTCATCTGGAAATATTGTCTTCCTAATTTACACTTCAAAAATAAAACACTGTTCACACACTCTCAAAGCAAATAGAAAACAAACACAGTGTTGGACAACAGTGAACCTAACCTATAACCACATGTCAAGTGCACATTTGTTATCCGCCAGTTCCGAAACTACCGAGCATGCGCAGAATAACGGCGCGCGGCTGGTTTCGAGGCTATACGTCGAACAGTCATCTTCGTTTCAATTAATGACTATATCTCGCGATTAAACATCGGAAGGAAACTATTCGTCATAGAATTTCTATTATTATTAACATCTGCGTTACACAGATGTGTATTTCCCACTTCGATAGTGCTCGTTCCATAGAATTATCGCTGTATCGCGTATAGATAATCGAATAAAAACGATGTTACACCTTGTTCTTAGTACGACTTTGACTATGATCGATTAGTGATCATCATCCGGTACATCCTGCGACAATTCTAGAAATTTATTACGAAGCAGCCGATCAATCGAACCGGTTACGAGGAATAGAGAACTTCGGCGGTTGTGGATTTACCCGCGCGTTTACCAACGAACATGTGTGTTTACATTTTTTACGTAGCATCAGTCAGGAGTCGCTTGACGCAATAACGAAAACCGCGATCATTCGTACGAGTTCGACCATTTCGTATTCGTGGTTCATCGTATCAAGACGTTTAACCATTCGAACATGAGCAAGTTGTGCTGTTTCGGATTATCGTTGGCCACCAGAATCATCAGCACCTACACGATGGTGAGTGACAGGCTATTGTAATGGAACGTTTAAACCGGTTCTTGCGCGCGCACACAGCAGAAACGCAACGTAATTAAAAAACTCGTTCCCGTCGACGACGAACGCGAACCATTCTCTCACGTGCAATTCCATTTTTCTCGTGTTCTTTCAGTCGATCTCGATACTCATGGTAAACCTGTTAATGAGCAACTATTTCTCGAGAGAAACAGACAACGAATTCTTCGATTCCATTGAAAACTGGGGTCTGTTTGGTTTGAATTGGCTGCAGGTTTTGAAAAATTCACAGATGGAGAAGAAAGGAAAAATCTAAAATTCGTAGCTCAAACAGCCGTGGTGTTTCTTCTCGTGTACACGATATTATTCCTACTGACCAGTGCGTATCTAGCCTTAGGATCGATCTCCGTGAGTATACGTTTATCCGGTTCATTTCTCGATACACTCGATCTACACGAAATACGTTAACAGTAGAAACGAAAGACTGCGCTAAGAGACAGACAAAAGAGTAGGGAACGTCTTGGTCGTGTATCGAAAGTGAATCGATCGCAGAAGTTCTTTATTTGAAAAACGTATTTTCGGCACGTAGCAGCCTCGCTGAAACTCGCTAACGATCTTGCTAACTTCCGCGTACGTTCACAGAGGAAACCTAAGTGCGCCGTGCCTTGGATGTATTTGCAAATGATTAACATAATAGATCAGTCTGTGGCGCTATCTATTCATCTGACGCACGGACCACAATGCGATGTTTACGATAAATCAATATGGTACATTCCAGTGTCCAGCGTCTATCTACGTAAGTACATTAAAATTACCCAGTTCCACGCGTCTCTGATACTGTATACATACCTATACTTATATATAGAGAGACATGGTTGAATCTCTCAATCAATCAAGATTTCTCGGTAGAACTTCTTAGTCGATAGAGGAAATCGAATAACGACCAACTTTTACATTTTCTCGATTTAGTGTTGTGCGCGTACTTTTGGATGGTCGTGCAAGCGGCAAGAAAAGAATGGTCGATCGAGCAACGAAGTTGCACGGACTTTCCTCTGAGCGAAGCCATATCCGTGACACAACCTAGCAATGGTAACGAACCGAAATCGCCGTCCTTCCTTTCGCAGAACTTCTCGATGTTCGATTCACCGAGACCGCCGACGATTCTACCAAAGTAGCTAAGTGATACGCGCAAATTCGAAGACAAACTGGTGAACGCGTCAATGGTACACGTTAGTGGCTATATTTGCTGGTGTTTCTCCGACGAGAAGAAGGCCAAGGATGAAGGAGTGGATCGTAACTAATTATCTAGATAAATCGTCTGTTTGCGTGTTATAAGTTAAGTACCTTTTACGTTAGCGTATTTATTTATAGTACTGACCCCTTCCACCTTATCTTTTAAGTGTTAATAAAAAGCGACGACTGTTCGACTGTTACCGATTCACCGTACATAGTGCGTAGGCGTGCTCGTTCGTTTGTTTTCTTTTTTTTTTTCTGGATAAAGATTGGAATCTTAAATCGGCGTAATAACCATTGATCATCGAGTAGCTAATGGAAACGGTGCGGTAGAATCGAGCAAACTACCAGAATACGATGAATCTTGGTCCCGTAACGGGGAAAATGTATAATAACGCGGGGCAACACGATAAATCAGCGCGGGGATGCGACTAATAGAGTGTATCAAATGCGACCACGGCGGAGCGTGGCTGCATAGAAAATATGAGAAATGGCTGCGTTTTAACGTCGAAATACTTTTAAACTTCCGGGATTTGAATCGCGCGCAAGCATATTTCCTATACGGGGACCGGCGTCTCCTAGATGGAAGTCGATTTGTCCGAAAATGGTCGGAACTTTTCGCGAAACTCCCGAGAATAATGATCGAGCGTACAATGGTCGATAGGAAGAAGGACCCTTCCAACGATTTATTCCGGGCGTTTCACCTCTCTTTCTCCCAGATCATTTGCCTTCGACGGAAAAGGTAACGCACGAATAGGCAAACACTCCATAGCAAAAACATCCTAAATCGAGAACATTCTTCGAATTTTCATATTTTCTTCGAAATATTGTTACCGTGTCGAGATTAACTTTAAATCCAGGCGGAATTATCGATAACGAAATTTCCCCTCCCTTTCATGTTCCTAATTGACGTTCACGAAAAAACTTCCGTAAGCTTTCCGTTCACGATACGACCGCGAGAACACGAACGACAGACATGCCGGGGTGGTACGCGACGTGGTTGGTTGCCGGTGCTTTTAAAAAGAACTGAGCGGAGCCAATTTGTAGGCTGTCGCAAACTTTTAAAACACTAGTTGACAGCCGCTCCGCCTTCGTGCACCCTCTTCGACGCTCGTCCAACCATCCAGAAGGATTCCAAACCACCATCTCCGTACGTCTCTCTTCTCGACTCGTAGAGCAGCAGCGGTCGACGACGACGACGACGACGAGACTCACCCCTCCGTGCTACTGGAAGCCGATGGATTGTAAAATAAAACTAACTTGGCTCTTTCGTGGCACGGAAACGGAGTACCAGCGAAATCTTATTCCTCCGGGTCTCTTTTATTTTTCGCGTACCCCTGTTTTTTTTTTCTTCTAACCAGGGTGTGCAATTGCGAGAGGGGTGGGTACCAGCGGAAGAGTCATGCTTACTCGGTGAAATGAGAAAGTTTCGATACGAGTTTAAACCGACTCGAACGTCGTATCTGCTGCTGTTACGTGTTTTAAGTGATTTCTCCGCGTAACTTTTAAGAAAGTCAAATGGATATAACGATACTCGGAAAATAAAAGTGGGAGTTTAGCGTATTTTTCAAATATGGATTTAATGTATTTTATATACAAAGGATGATGTATGTACGTTTGATATTTTTCCTTGATATTTCGATTCGACTTGGAACACTTTAACGAGTATCCAAGGACTAAGGAGAAGGGTAGAGAGTCACACGTATGGCGCACATAAAAGGTGTTGCGACGCAATTAATCTTCTTGTATGACACTTTGGCTGGTTACGGGGCAAAGCTTGCCAGCAGCCAGAACACAACATCCCACTTAAGCGAGACGCCCAGAAAACAATTAATACGAAATTGATTAATAATTATTGCGTCCTAATTTCGGCGCCCCTTGTCGCCCACGGTCCTGCTAGTCACGTAACCGTGAAAAAACGAATTTTCCCACCGCTACGTCAGATTCTTCGATCTCTCACGGAAACACACCCTTCCTGACCAATATTCTGTACCACGAGACTTCCATAAAATAATATCGAAATACCTACAAACTCTATCGTTTGCTATCACGTCGAAACACGATTTTTCCATTCTACTTGAAAAACAGATTCGACGATATAGGTATCGGAGCTGATAGAAAATCGAAAGCTTAAAACGTCTGGCTTGAACAGGAAAGTCGCGTTGCACGCGGTGAGCCGTTCCACTCCTTTTGTGACATTTATTTGTTCGCCGCCAAAAACGGACAGTCGATTTGGCATTACTTTTCCAGACAGACAGATTTTATTGATCTGTGCCGCGTTCGTTTCTCTCCCGAAACCAGCGGTGGAAGAAGCAAAGACAGAAAGAGGAGAGCGGAGTCTAGAAGATGGAAAGAGAGGAGGATAGAACGGCGGAACTGAACGCCCCATAAAGCTAACCAATGCTAATACTTCGCATCTCCGCAGTGGCGTCCTTTTACAAGCGTGTGCCTTCCAGCTCGTTCGTTCGATCTGTACGGGACGGAAAATTCAGCGCGACGCCGCTGTCCTGGACCGGAATCGGCAATAAACGCGTAACCGAGCCTAATTCGTAATGTTGGCTCAGTCATTGTGGCCCATTGTGAATTCTCTTCCCCTGTTATTCGGGGGCCACGAGTATAATGCTGGGGTTATCGCAGGAAACTGCCAGTAACGACGCCGAGAGCCACGTACTCTTTCGAAATACCCTCGGTCCGTTTATCCCTCTATCCTTTTCATCAGATTCTATCCGGATACCTCGTCTTCTTCTCCCTTTTTTCCTCTCTAAGAATTGTCCGAACTTAAAATAATTGTTTTCGACTGTAAGAGTTGATCGTCCATCAAAATACTTGGCTGAATATCTCAACGTTTCAGTGACCAATCGCTGTAGAGGATGTACGTGCCAGATAGAGGGCAAGAAATTTGTAAATTTCAACTATAGCGTGGATAAGACGAGGAGGAGAAAAAAAGGGGAAGAAATCGCGCGTATCTCGAGTGAAAAGTTTGTTTGCCAAGAGTCGCCCACGAATGTTGGCCAAGCGTCTTAGCATATGAATAGGAGGATACGTACCCCGTATGATTTTTTCCCTCTCTTTCCCCCTTGAGGAATAAAAGTCTAGAGAACGTGGACGATGACCGTTCTTGGGTTAGGGACGGATACAGGCCGGAGAAATCGCATTACTTTCGAATTTCTGTACGCGGAAACGGGGGTGGCACGTGCTCGTCGTGCGCGTTTTTTTCCTTTCCAAGGAAGTAAATTTGTGAACACGATGGACGACGACGGGGCACAATGGCTGCGTTTAATACTACATTAAACACGATACAGCCCGATCTACCCCGTGACCACCGTGACAAAATTTCCCGGACAATGGCCAAGCGATCGCTGTATTAGTCGACGAGGGATGATAAATCCTCTCACGCACGTGTGCGGGATATCTCGAGTGTT